ATTTGAGAGATATTATTAAGGGATGGAGCTCTCATTTGGCTAAATTCTTGGATGCAATTAATTATTGGACTAAGTCTGGAAAAAGAAGCCAAAGAAGTTCAATGTTACAGTTATCAGAGACGAGACCGCGCCACAACAAACGAAGGAAGCCAGAGGGGATTGTGGTCATCTCGTATGCATGTGCTTGGAGCGTTTGACGACAGGAAGTACACATTTTCTACCTCCCACCGATAGAGATAGAGGTGTAGTAGGCTTGTGGTTTTGGCATTTTATGGCTAGAGCGATATATGCGAGACGTTGCCTACCTGCATCCGCGTTATGAAAGTGTCCATAAATAATTTGTAAGTCAAATGCAAATGTTGTTAAACATATATACTCTTTTTGGTTTGAAAATGTTTGGTTAAGTAGCTAGAATTCAATAATTTGCTGTTTGTAGGTTTTAGATATGTAGAAAGTGTTGTTGATTCAATGTTTGGTTTCTGCAGGTTAATCCTGAAGTGAGCTGCGTGAAATAGATGTATGGGTGCAAAAGTTGATTCAAAAATTGATGAGGAAATAATTCATTATTATTTTTTGATTGTTTAATTGATTTGTAAAAGATGATTTGTAAATGTTGATTTGCTTAATTGATGTGTACATAATTATTATTTGTGTTTGTTTAATTGATTGAAATGTAATAGTTGATTTGTTGATTTCAATCTGCATTATGTTGAATGCAAAACAGACTATCGCAACGCGGAAATGACTATCGCAACGAGAGAATCGCAATGCGAAATGAAAATCGCAACGAGTGAATCGCAATGCGAAAATGAAAATCGCAACGCGAAACTAATTTCGCGTTGCGATAGTCATTTTCGCGTTGCGATAGTCAATTCCGCATTGCGATAGTCATTTCTGTGTTGCGATAGTCATATTCGCGTTGCGATTTCCGCGTTACGATAGTCAAATGAATGTCTAATAAGTGATAACAACTGAACATATCATAGCAATGTTCAAACTCAAGTTACTAATACATGCCTAACTGAAAATGTTAAAAGTTCACACATAATATACACATAATACAACGTTTGCATTTAAAAATCACCTAAGTTAACAGTCCCAAAAGGTGAAGCCGGTTGTGATTGGGATTTTGATGAGGATCCATATTTAGGTAGAGGAAAAGATGATTGTGATGGCACTGGCGATCCACATGTCAACCTTGTATGACCACTTTCCTTGCACCGACTACATGTCAATCTCTTCTTCTCTTCACCCTTAGACGGTATACGATCGTGACTATTTGGTCGGCCAGGTAGCCTTCTGTCCATGGCTGGTGGCAAAACTGTTTGTAAGTCATCTGGTATGTCCCACTCAGAAGGATGTGGAATAGGGTAGACAATCTCGCCATAAGTCTGTCGATATACTTCTGTAGTGTAGCAATCCATAGCGTATGCGCTTGAATCATCTTGGTTTAGATGAAGAGAAACTTTTATAACATGGCCACACGGATAACCAGATGTTTGCCATTTCATACAACTACACGTCTTTGCATTTAGATCGACAAACCCATTTAAGTTATTATCCAGTACTTTAAACAAAGTGTTTGAACATGGTTCAACTCTCCATGACGTTGACTTCACAACACGTTTCGTTATCTTTTTTTCAGTCCATGGTGTAACACGATGTTCCAATGTTCCTGTAAATTTAAATAAATAATACTTAGTAAAATATATGATAAGTTACGAATTTAAAGAAATAATATCTGCATGGTTTCTTTTCTTGTAGTACCACTGTTGAATAGAGGCTCGAAAAAACTCCATTAAAATAGTAATGGGTAATTTCCGGGAATGATGACTTAGAGTGTTGATTGATTCTGCACTATTAGACGTCATGAAACCATATTTTGCTCCAAGTTGATGTACTCTTGACCATCTTTCAAACCCGACATCTTCTAGTGTTTGAGCACACTGAGGCAAAACACATCTTAAACAGTTTATATACTTATTAAAATCCACTTCCCGATAAGCTTTTACAGCCTTCCAATATGTCCATTTGTGATTTTTTATACCACCAGACCTTGATTTTAGATTTCTATACAAATGAACACCACAAAGTCCATGAAAAGCATCTGGGAAACACCTTCTAACAGTGTTGTCAATTGAGTTTGCCCTATCGGATATGATTGTCAGATTGCTAATAGAACCAATGCAATCCCTAAGATGCCCCATAAACCATGTCCATGAATCAGAGGTTTCAGATTTGCCAACCCCATAAGCTATTGGCAGTATCCCATTGTTAGCATCCATGGCTACTGCTAATAAGTTTACTCCAAGGTATCGACCTTTTAAATGTGCTCCGTCAACTATAATAATTGGGCGCATACAATTAATAAACGAACGAATCTACAAAATCATATACACAGGAAATATAATCATTTAAATGTGAAATGCATGTAACTAACAAAAATGAGTCAACAAAATTATATTGATTTACTAACTGCAGCACCAATGGCGATAAACAGCAACTCAAAGCGTCCATCTCTATCTGTTTTGATATGAGTTACCGACCCAGGATTTTTCAACTTTAAATTGTGACAATAAGCCGGCAGTTGGGCAAACGATGCTTCTGGCGACCCCCTCAACAATTCCAAGGCATAACATTTGGCTCTCCAAGCTTGAGAATATGAGATACTAATCTTGAACCGAGTATTCATGTCAGTCATAATTTCATGTCCCCGATATACCCTGCCATTCAAAAACATTAACTCAGCCAGAAAACCACCCAACACCTTTTTGTTTGCCTGTCTATGGTGAGGAAAAACTTGGGTTCTTGAACATGTATGTTTATCAATAAAAGTCCTAACTTGAAACATTTCGCAATCTTTTATCCTCTTTGCAATCATACGCCACGTACAGTTTTTGTCAATCATACACCTTGTTTCGAAACGATATTTGCTTGATTTGTTAACTTTTGGTTAATAGTCATCTTCCACACATTTCGTATACAAAGCTATCTTCAAGTCTTCCTTTGTATCAAAACAATCATCTTTCTTGATACAAATAATTTTTGTGTAACAATCAACTGCTATCTTTACCAACTCTTCTTCCGGTATCTGAAGTAATTCTGGCATATTCTAGTTATACTCCCGTGGCATTTTCTTAGGGGACTTTTCTTTGGGGATTTCTTCTTCTTTTTCTTCTTCAGTGTTATATGAATTACAGAATGGATGTTCAACATGTTCATTTACAGTCGTAACTTTCTCCTCATTATCATCAACAACATCTTCCTCGGCAACGGCTGTTTCATCATCAAAATTCGGGTATTGACCAATATCAAAATCATTACACGCAGGGTCTGTTTCTTCTTCTGAAAAATCATCAAAATCCGAGTATTGACCAAGATCAAAGTCCGGGTATTGACCAAGATCAAATTTCAAATACTGACTAGTACTCACAAATTTTTCTGTTGGCTCATCATCGTCTAACTGGTCAATACGAAAACCGGAATTTGGTGCTGAAAGTTGATTGGGATTTGGATTAGGGAAAGGTTGTGGGTTTTGAGATTGTGTTTGGTATTGGAAATGTGGTGAAACAATATTTGCTTGGTGATGAAATTGTGGTGGAACCATTAAATTTTGAGCACGATAAACTGGGGTTGAAAAACTTAGTTGATTACTACCCGCTACTGACCCAACTTCACTACTTCTAGGTTCAACAACATACAATGTAACATCATCACTTGAAACACTAATGTAAGCAATGAATCGTTCAACATCTTCATTGTCGGTTAACAAATAAACTTTACCATTTCTCTGATAAGATAGCCTAAATCCACTTAGGGGCTCTAAATTCAATTTATTTACAACACATAACATTATAGTTTCATAAGTTAACTTTTTTAATGACAGTTTTAGTTGAAGATTCATGGGTAATGGCATATATTGTAAAACACCATGAACATTCTCCCATGATCATCCAAAACACAAATCTATCCAAACATGATCAACATTAGATGATTTCATTATTGTAAATTAATTTACTAAACAAACGAGCTGCGAAACTAAAACCTGTTGCCGGATGGGAAAGGATGTCGTTGGATATAGGAACGGATGTCGCCGGAGAGAGTGATAGATGGAGATGAAATGAGTTGCGATTTAGGGATTTAGGTTATGAGTTGGTACTGCTGCGTAGTTATATACCCAAAACATTTGTGTTGCGAATTCAGAAATCGAGTTGCGAATTTGAAATTCAGTATTGCGATAGTCAGAATCTCGTTGCGATAGTCAGATTCGCGTTGCAATTTACATATTCGCATTGCGATTTACGTAATCGCATTGCGATTTTCCAAATTCGCATTGCGATTTACGTATTCGCATTGCGAATTAGGAAAATCGCAACGCGAATTTGAGAAATCACAATGCGATAGTCAGAATCGCGTTGCGAATCTGGAAACTGATTTGCGATACCGGAGATCGCGTTGCGAATTATCGATCGCATTGCGATTTAGTTGGTCATTTTGGCAAATCCAAAAAAAAGTTGGTTAAAATCATATATTATAAGGCATTTTTTGTCACTGAGGTTATTTTCTCTAAGTAAAATTATATATATTTTTTTGGGTTGGGTATGATATTTTTCACCCGAACCCGAATCTGAATTTTTTAATTAAAAAACCCAACCCGATCGAGTAGGGTCGAAACCTGTCGGATTCGGATCCCATGCCTAACCCTAATTTTAAGTTAGAGATCATGGTTTAACGTTTAGAGGTTATGATTTAAGGTTATCAATTTAGGATTTTAAGTTAAAGGTAGTGTATAAAATGTAGCAATGAAACAAATTTATAGACTAAATCGATGCAAAAATAAAAAAAGAACGAAGATAGATTAGGTCTACTACATGACTAAAAGTGACCCTTAATCTGATAAAAAATAAGGATATATTAATATGGTAAATCTTAGGTCGAACTTTCTTAAGTAATATAGGTCAACACAACACTGGATCATTTCCATGCAATGTAGCTTCATGTAAAGAGGGATATATTAGCACAGCGAAGCCGAAGTCATGCTCTTGAGGGAGTTTTTTTTTTCAATGAGCAGTTTTACACTTGCTAAATGAACTTTTATTAAATGGTAGCTAATGCAACAAAGAGGTTTACTAAATGAACTTCACGCCATGCATAGCAGCATAAGCATGGGGGATAATAAGTTGGCAACGTCCATCAATCAGTTGGGTTGCAGGATGCGTTTAGTTCTCCCTTCTGGGAGTCCGATGAACAATTCAGTCTCCACGTCCGAGTTCGGACTTCTTTCATCGCTTGGTACTTCCTTTTCTCTCTGCTCCTTTGATCCTTCCCATGGCAGCATACCGGACTGAAAGAAGAAGAATGAAGAAGAAATGGGTTTTTCCAGTTGTATCGAAGGAAGCTTAAGAATGCTAACGGCTTACCTTTTCACAAAGCTTTGCATTTTCAGCAGCTAGGATTTTCTCCTGAGGTTTTTTGCCAAAAAATATCAAAAACTTGTATATATATATATATATGCTATGTTATGAGAAATATAATTCAGAATAGGTGACACCAAGGCATACCTTTTCTTTCAATTCCTGGATCTTGTCCCTGAAAACTTTGGTCTGAAAAGTAAACAAGGGTTAACAACTTAACATGTTTAATTTTTCATTTGTCTTGTAGGATGTTAAAGATAACACAATATTGATAGTAGTCATCGTCAACCTTTCTGGCTCTGACGCAGGTCACGCTCTTTTGCAGCTGCTGTTCTATCTGTTGTAGTTCTTCAAGTGTGCATGATTCCAATCTCTCTCCCAGTAGCTTTCTGAGGCATTTTCAGATACTCCAATTTCAATATCTTTGTTCAGTCCTTCTAATGTATATTTAGAAATAAATAAGCAGCATATATATACCGTTTTGAGGCTTCAAGAAGCTCTATTTTCTTCAGCATGTTTTCTGCTTCAATCTTCAGATGCTGCCATTTCAGTCAACGTGAATGAGATAAAGCAAGAAACAAAACCCCGATCAGTATGATACCAGACCGTGTTATACCACATAAATACAGTTTATAACCAATCCAAACCGGAATAGGATTCTACTTGGTGACAAGGTAATTAGGGTTAAATACAAATTGTGAGAGAACAAGACGTACATAGGATTCTAGTTGGTGAAAAGGTTAGGGTCATATTACGTATAATCTTTGAGTGAGTAGTAAATACGTGGGAAAGGAAAAGCTTAACCTCCATGTTTTCTTCAGTTGGCTTGACTCGATTTTCCTTGGTATGTTTCCTGTAACGTTCGATTGTCTCCCGCATGCTAAGCAATGAAAATCAAGGGCAAACAATTGTGTTACTGTGAGACAATAATTGCATGGTGCTTGTCAAATAGGAATGGTTATGTTCATTGCCAAGGGATCGGTTGGATATATATTACAACAGTCCATTAGCAGGATTAATATCAAAAGATTAACATGGTGCTGCATCATTGCAAACATTACTTACAGAAGACAAAGATCAACTATAGGGTAACTTTTCATAGTGGGTTTTAGATGGTAAAAGATTCGACTCCTCATTCCAACATAGTAACAAAAAACAAATATATATCTAAAAGTAGTACAATCGTTCATTCTTACATCAAAAGCCAAAACTAAAGTCATCATTCTACTTTAGGAAAGGCTGGATTGTCTCAAAGTTTACAAATCTTTATCAAACATGCTTGAAATTGAAATAGTGTCACTGTATTCCAGTTGTGTCTTTCGGTTTTGGTGAAGCTATTTAGGTTAGATTTCAACTGAATCAACTGGATGAGCTGTTGTTTCTTAATCAGTCTTTAATAGCAACAAGGAATTTTATTTTTAAAACAACATTAACTAGCACTAAATTACGAATACGGGAATGGTCATCAGAGTATAGTTTAACTTTGATTCTTGGAAACTCTGCATGAAGAAACAACAATGGTGCCAGGCATTGTTCACACATCAAGTCAACTTGTTTTTGTAAGATCAAACAACCCTAGCTTGCAAATCCCGTATGTGTATATGTAGAAAGCACAAATTACCTAGAGCTTGCAAATTCATAGCGCTTGCCTCTGACAGAGAAGATAATGAGAGCGACCTCAGCATCACAAAGAACCGATAGCTCGAAAGCCTTCTTTAGCAACCCATTTCTACGCTTAGAGAAAGTTACTTGCCTGCTTGTTGGGTTCTCTATGCGCCTCATTTGAGTCTTTCCCCTCACCATTTCACCTCCTTCAACCAAAAAACACTGAATCTATCAGCACTCAGCACTATAGTTCTACACACAACAGCAAAAACACTAAGTAAATCAAGCCGAACAAAACCCAGAAAACCCTTTTTTTGTTGTTCTCTTTCTAGGATGTTAGAGTACAAAGCAGCTGAGAAAACTGGGAAACTATAGACATTTTCGTACGCTGATATGAGGAAACCGAGGGATACGTTGGTTGTTTGATTGCTTCAATGAAAACAATACACAAGAAACAAAATGTTCTTCTGGTGGAAACCCCAAAAAAATTAGAGGAAAAAAATCTCCCATAAAAGAAAAGGAGAGGAAGAAAGGAGAAAACCTTACCAGACAAGCAAGAAAAGTGCTTGGAACTCGTTGTATGTTCTGAATAAAAGAAAGAAAGCAGCAGCAAAGAAAATATGAGAGCAAAATTTATAAAATTCAACAAACATTCAAAGCAATTTAAAGCACTTAGTTTTATGATCCGATCCCTTCAATCATACAGCTTTTTTCGATGAAATAAACGTGAGAGATGATGACATCCAAACACTTGCATACCAAAGAGAAAAGAAAACCCAGAAAGCTATTAAATGAAAGAGGAGCAAATCCAGGAAACAAAAACCAAAGAAGAATACCCAGAAGATCCAAGACTAGAAAATTATTACTTTTCATTGATATATTTCGTCAGACCCTTTTTTAGTAAGCAGCAAAGGAAGAAAAGGGAAAAACCCAAAATCCAAAAATATCAACCTTTCCATATTCATCAGTCTTCCTCAACCCCCACCCCTCACCAGTATATCAACAGTTTAAGCAAAGAGGCATCTATTTGTTTGTATATTAAAACAAAATATTTTGTCTGAAACCTCCTCTCTTACTTGTTTTGGTAAATTCATAAGACAAACCCAAAGGCTAAAACATACATGAAAATGGAAAATTTTACTAAAAGAATGTAAAGAAATAGTTTAAAGAGACATCAGACAGAGGAAAACCCAACTTGCAGGAAAAGTCTAAGGATTTAAATAAACAAAACAATATACACACATACTTGTATCGGAAGAATTTTTCTCCCAATCAGTTGATTTTAAAAGGGAAAGAAAGCAAACAGTAACCCTAAATTTGAAGTTAAAAATGGGAAAACAAATGTATATTTAGAAATAGTTCAATGTTGTCCGTACAACATCGTACACAACCACCAATCAGCTTTCGAAAGCTCACCGAAAGGGTGACGATACTTTTTTGTTTTTTTAAGAACCTTAACCCCAAAAAAACACGGTTTTTATGTAGAAACGAACGAGGATATAGGAGGTAAATTTGACGAAATAAATAGTGAGTTATTTGATATTGATTCGGTTAAAGTTCAATTAACACTCAAATTGAATAAACTCAATTTAACTCAACTCGAATTCTTAACGAGCTAAAACGAACTACGTAATATTCGACTGGGAAAACTCGCAGTTACTCGAAAAAATGTTATATTATAACATTAGATTTTTTAAAATTACATTATTAAAAATATATTAAAAATAAATTATTAATAATTATAAATTTTTAAAAATATATTTTTAAATGTAATATAATATTTTTTGTAGGTTCAAATTCGATTTTGAGTTCGAGCTTGAATCGAGCTCAAAATCGAGTTTAATTAAGCTCGAGTCTCGAGATTCAATCAAACTCCTGAATTTTTTTTTAGTTTAAGCCTTTTCGAGTTTGAGTCGAGTTTTAATTTTATATTTCAAGTTCAAGCTGAGCTAGATAATTTTTAGCTCGTGAGTTTTCGAGTCAAGTTGAGCCTAATTTTAACTTTTCGAATTCGAATCAAACTCAACGATATTCAAACTCGACTCAACTCGTTTAAAGCCCTATAAGGACCACTCTTCCGACCATTATTTTCTATTTCATAAATTTGTGAGGTTGCCCCATTTTTTGTAGCAACTTTTTTCATTATTTTACTTTTCTCTTTTCTAAATATCCTCCTAACAATTTTGAATAACATATTATATTTATACAGTATAAGACATAAGAAAAACTCATTTAATGATCTCAGTGTTAAATGAAAATATTATTATTATTTTTCTCATATATTTCAGGTTTTAAAAATTACATAGACGATTAAAAAAATATTTAAACAAACACTCTAGATTGTTGAACAAATAAAAATAATCATAACAATAAAGATATATATTTATTATATTATGATTAATCTCTAAGGGTGTATTTGGTTCACGAAATGTAAAATTATCGGTGGGAATAATATTACTGGCGGGAATAAGATTACTAAGAATGTTGTATTTCGTGTTTGTTTCGTTTAACATGAATGTAAGATTACATCGTTTGGTTAAAGGAATAAAAGATTATTGGAATATATATTTTATCAAATTGTCCTTATTATATATTTTTTTAACAAGTTGAATTCTACTATAATATTACTATAATTAATTTATATATTTTCTTTAAAATTTTAAATTCATAATATATATATATATATATTATAAAATTGAAAAGATAAATATGTTTAATGAAAGGGTAAAATTTTATTATAACTCCTAAACTTCATATAAAATTCTAATTATAAATTTTTTTTTGTAAATCTAAAATAATTTAAAGATAAATCTGTAATTTAATCTTCGTAGAATTTTTTTTATTTAACGACTGAATAATGATATTTTTGGGGGGAAATAAGGACATTTTAATTCAAAACGCCGGTAATCCAACAATACTAATGGAAGAGATAATCACATTTCTGATAATATACCCTAAAATACCACTGTTAGAAATAAAGGGTTATCAGAGATTATGAATGTTTGCCAATCAAACGAAAAAATGACATTCTATTATCCGTTAATCCAATATGCCGCCAACCAAATGTCCCCTAAAGAGGGAAATCATAGTTGATCTTGAAATAAAATATAATTTTGTAAATAAAGACTAAATCTTCAATCTCGTAACTAAAAGACAAGTGAACAATCAACGAAGTACATTCCATGTTTACTCAAAGAAAATAGTCAAAATATAATAAAAAGTAAAGTGTGTGAACTTGTAAAATAGTGGAGGAAAGACCCGTCATTGACTTGGCTACAAATTAAGCACAATGATGATGCAATCAATGACGATTTCAACTTTTTGCTTCAACTTCTTATCGTTAATCCATCTTATATAAATTCCAACGCATACTTTTCGTGTGAGGTATGAAATCGGAATTTCCTATCTACGTAGCTGCCTTCTTATATTTTTTTGTTTTTTCCCTACGTGTCAAGAGTTGTTCTATTTTGAGCATATTCGTATTTTGATGATGGGCGGATATATATATTATTTTAAAAAATACCTAGTATATACTATGATTTTATAACAGCCACCGGCCAGAAAGGGATCGGTAACTTGCATAAAATCATGTTCTGTAATAAAAAAAAGAGGAAAGTTGATATAAATCAATAGAGAACATGTGAGCAAAGTACAGTATAGGGCAAGGCAGGAACAAGCGATGTGTTTATAAAACGCCACTTATGAGTAACAGTACGCCAAAATCCTTTCCCTCCACAATCAGTTAACACGGGAAAAAAACATAGTACACAGAAATCTTATCCATGTCGACAACATCAGAGCATGGCACCTCCACTCATCAAACAATTTCCTCTAGCAGCTTATCACGAGCTTTTGATAAGATTTTTGTGCACCAACCTGGGTGAGAATACTGCTACCAACAAAGGGTTCTTCCTCAGGGTGTAAAAGAAATCATCTCTGCTCATTCTCCCGTCGTTGTCCATATCAAATAGACTGAACAGCCCATTAACCTACAATTTGTGCGCATACGCGAATATTTCATCGAGTCTGAAATGATGATATAAACTACATTTCACAAACAACCCCATGTAATTTCTTTTCTTTACCTCATCGTCATTCAGGTCTGGAAATTTGACTCTAAGATTATCTGCGAACTGCACCAGAGGCAATCAGAAACAAAAAGGTTAATTTAATCTTTTGATCATAAATGCACAAACTAAGGGAAAGGAAAGAAAGAACCGCATACTTCTTTCTTCATACAGTAGTTATCTCCATCCTCATCACAATCAGCAAAGGCTAGCTCACATGCTTGCTTGAAGAGAGGCTGGTTCAGAACATGAGCTGATCCAAATAAGAACTGCCAGGAAGGACATAAAACTATATTGGTGAGACATATATGTAAGCAAAATTTGCTTAAGGTGAGTTTGGACCAAAATTCAGGTGAGGTTTCACACTGAAATCAAGCACAAGAATCTAGCAGTGATATACAAAACATAGAACAAGACTGAAACTGACAAGGTAAAGAATAGTTTTCTTGTTTTGTAAGGAAACCAATACTAGTATAGTTTTTCTTCTTTCCTTTTTACAAGGCAGGCAATAACAATGCTAAAACATGAAGTGGGATTTCATCCGCAACAAAAGTATGCCTCTAAAGAGTTATCAGCAGTATATCTTCTCTGAAATTTTCCGATAATGGGACATCAGCAGACAACTAAAAACTTGATACCTAACAGCAAGATAGAAGCAGAATACGCAGTGGTGGTAATAACATAGAGGAAGGGGTAACAAGTCCAGAAGTTCATAAACATGACTTGCTAAGGAAAACTAATTAGTCACATGAAAGAGAAGTCTAGGTCTTCAGGTAAACAAGGTTTAATCAATGGGGATTGAGGAATATATTTGGCTGTGCTTAAGGTAAAAATATTTTTTAGATATGATCATTGAATGAAAAAGAAGTCTAGATATGAACTTGGTCGGGTGGCAATATGCTAAAGTGAGATGCTAACAAAGAAGACACAAGTGAACAGAATTAGAAAATCCAACAGGAGGTATGGGCAGTAGAACTACCTGCTTAAATGTAATTGATCCATTCTTCTCCACATCAAGGAACCCAAAAATCTGTACTTGAGAAAAAAATTACAATACAAGATAATGAAGAAAAAGAAAATATTACTAGGATACATAAGTAAACCATATGCAAAAATCAACGGACAGAGTAATTACAAATGACCTCTTCCGAAATTGTACAAGGCTTTAGTTGCAGAACCCTTAAAAAATCATGAAGTTTAACACAGCCACTGCAAGAGACATTATTCAAAGCTTAAAAAATACAACAAAAAGGAACGAATAAATATCCTTCAGTGTGTATGAATTAGAGGTGGTGTGGTTCTACTAGTCAACCATTACTCTCAGTTGGCTCAGTAACAAGAAGTCAAGAATACTTCTCATCATGACTTGGAAATACCTGGGGTCTGGGTTCATGGACAGAAACTTATCCAGAAAGTCCACGGCCTCCAAGTTGCTTATGTGGTATAGCTGCAAGATGAAAAAATGGTTTAATAAGTGAGGAGAATACGAGATAGAAACACAGGAGTAAGCATCCTCATAGGAGGCAATAAAGGCATGGTTATCAACTTCAAAATAAAAATGTATTTTCATAAGAAGACAAAATAATACAAGTATGTTTCAACTTAGAGGAATTTCAATGTCTGACTCACTGATTCAATTTTGGCCATTTCAACCATATAACTCCAGGGATTTTCCTGCCAAAGTTATGTTAAAACAACTATTAGCACAGATTACAAAAGCAATCAGACTCGTATCTCAGCATAAATAATCAAATGCCAAGCTGTTCATTACGAGATATTATTCCAGAAAGAATGGTGGTGCAACTAATAATTCAGAAAATGCACCAGGTGTTAGTTGATTAGTTAGCAATATACTTGCTCCTATATCAATACATCCACCAACAAGAACATGAATTGGACTTAAGTAGTGGTACTAAACTAAATGCACTATATTCTCTATTTTTACTTATTTATGCTATATGCCGCCAATCTCCATTAAGTAAACAAAACATAGATGTAAACACCCTACACTTGCTTCAACAGATAGTATGCTTTACCTAGAATACTATTAGTAAATATAGAAAACTAAGGAAACATATTACAAAGAGAAGAGAAATTTATGTTCATAGGAACTAAAAGAAGGTTTAATAATGCCTTTTCTAGCATACATAATTTACTAACTCACATTTGCAAATCTTCTCATGGTTTATCGTAAGTAAAAATCTTTATTTTCTACAATGAAAGCCTAGTTTCTGCAAGCTTCATTTTATCCAACCCATAAACAATTAAATTAAAAATCTTTATTTCATCCTGCCCATAAAAATTTCATACCACCTTTGGCCCAAAAATTCCCAAGTACACTTCAGGATGAAGTAAATGTCATGGACCCCAATTTCTCAAAAAACTAAATTTCAATTTTCCATCTATTTAGAAGTTCATAAACAACCACTGAGAAGCACAAACCTGTTGTACTTGAGCAGCTTTTGTAAGTAGCATTAAATCCCCGTAAGAATGAGATGTTTGTACAACATTGAGAGCACTTGCCATAGCTTGACCAGTCTGCCCAGACACATGTGAACAATTAAATAATCTACAAGCACCAACATTACCAGGAAAAACAGAATTACATGTAGACTACTTAAACATATCTGGAATATTAAATTCCATAGAATGTACACTGTATATATGCTAGATAACTAGCAAAGACTCACCCTCTCAGCAAAACGGACAGCATTTTGTTTTTGATGATCAGAGGGCATAAGTATAGGGAGATATTCTACCTGTCAATTAAGAAAACTGTGAATTGGATTTAACAGAGAGTAAAATTTCTCAACTGCAGAATATAAAAGTAAGAAGGGGATTAGATAAGCTAGGTCACATACCTCTATAAAATTATGAAATTGAGTAAACATTCTAAACATGAGATTAGCCAAAGAAATAAGCCCCCTAAACAAGACAACAAAAGGAAATTCAGTTGATGCATCATGCATGGAGAAAAATAAAAACAAAAATAAAAGATAGTATGCTTGACTAAAGAAACCGAGTCCTACCAAGATTGGTCAAAGTGTACATGAGGATAACGAACAATTATGGGTTGAATTGGATGACCAGCGATGAATGCGCCAAGTTGAAATGAAATAAGGAACTTCCCATTAGTTGTAGTTCCCTCAGGAAACAGTAGCACTCTTGGAAATGTATGGCATGAAGCCCTTCTCTGTTTACAGAACCTTGAAAGCACATTTCTGTATCAAATAGCTTACAACTTGATAAAGATCATATAAATTAACTAAGATTCATGAACAACTAAACATTTCTATTGTTTTCATTTCCGGATTCTGAACAATTACATCAAACAAGCAAAAAATGCCATAGAAACTTTCTACCTTTATTTCATTTACAGCATTCTTTCTTGATGTTGATGAGAATCTATTAACATATATCACCTACAAACATGAAAGAAGAATTCAGTACACACATAAAGCAAATTGCAACTACAAAGACATATTATAAAAAAATTAAGATCGTAGATTACCTGCATTGCCCTAATAATAGTTCCGACAAAGGGTATTGAATCATGGGACTCTGATGCAACGATTGTTGGAAATAATTCATAGAAATAAAAAATTGGCTCTATGTATGATACATGATTAGATACAACAATCGGAGCGATCTCCCTTGGTGCTGGTTTTCCTTTTCTTCTAATCCACTGATAACTGAAGGTAAAGATTAACGGAAGGGTTCAACTTATCATAAATAGTAGAAATTTCAACCTCAAAATAAATATTATCTGTTTTTAACTTACCCAAAAGAGAATAAAATAAAGCGAGTGCAAACCCTAGTGATCCACATAAGCCTCGACCTCCATTTGGGCATTGAGTTTTGCTTATCCTTCCACCCCGCTAACGCTATCCTGGTCGCGATATAACCTACTGCCAACGACGACCCAAACAGGACCAATCTCACTAAAGCAATCGGAAAACACAGAACGATCTTTACTACTTCGTAAACTCCGGAAACATACGGCGTCCCGTTTCGAAACGGGTCAGCCGTGGTCGGTTCCGGAACCGATAATCCACCAGACCAGAGAAATTCGTATGGATTCGGAGAGCTAACGTTCCCGTTCTCATGGTAGATTTGACTGTGATTGTGATTCTGATGAGAAATGGCGGTTTGGAGGGAAGATTGTTGATTGGATGGTTCAGAATCTTGGTCGTCTTGGACATTGAGAACAGTCTGAGGTTGATACAACGATCGAGGAGAGAGAAGCCGCGACGTTAGATCACGCTCCGCCATTCTACTGAATCGAAAATGAGAATCAGCGGAAAGGAATTCTACGGGGTTTTTTTTCCCTTTCTTTTTGTATTTTTGGGTGAAAGGAAAATATACGGAGGGAGCGACAATGGAGTGGAGAGGTTTATGCGATAAAGATGGAGTAAATTTTTGGTTGGGCTTTTATATATATATATATATATATATATATATATATATATATATTTGTTGGACGTGATTTGCACGTGGATATATGCGAGAAGGATGGAGTATTTATGTTTGATTTTATATTTAAATAAATTTATATATATATTTATAAAAATAAGTTGCTTAAATTTATATCGTTTAGAAAGAAAAAACATTCTGTCATAATACACTGTTTTTATTTTCTGCTATTTGTATTCAAATAAAGTTGTAATCCCTTAGACCCGGCATATGCGTTTCGACTAAGTCTAGTGGATCACATTATGATTATTAAAGATATTTTCCGAAATCGTTATTCTATTAATATAAAATCACATTATAAATAACATGAAATTATAAACAAATTATACTATCAAAATCTAACTCGTAAATATAGTACCAATAAATAATAATTTAATTTAAAACATGTCTTCAAATTCAAAATCACAATAAACCGAGCAGTACTAGCAAAAGAGTCATCATTATAAAATCCGATATTTAAAATAAGGTCCATGTCACCAAATTAAAGTCAACTTGCAAGATAAAAACATTACAATCTGATTTACTTCAAGAGATATGTTGATCCTCCAAGTGCTCGAACCGAGGTATCTAACCAACAGTATCTGAAAGGGGGAAAACATTTTCAAAAGGTGAGCTAGGCTCAGTGTGCCCCAACATTTCCATAAAATGTCAATAGGTACAAATCATAGTCCAGTAATCTCACAAATTCGTAAAAGAGTTTAACTTTTGAAAATCATAGTTTAAACCCTTTTCTGGTACACCATCAGTAGTTCTCAAAATTATTTTCCATATAGCTTACTTTATGCATATAGCAAAAAGAAAGCCGACTTAAGGATAGGCTCTGAAGCTTGTATCCTTAAGTCCAAGTCAATAAGTCCATATAGCTTACCCAAAGCACACAGCAAAGGAAAGCCGACCTAATGAAACATCTTGGGGCCCTCAAGAGTCACATTAGGCCCATTTAGCTTGATCAAAGCTATTCAATCGTAATTCAATTCCAAAATTCAATTGCACCGTGACATAAATTCCATAAATCCAAAAACATGGTAATCATATACCATTTCAAAACAAAAATTAGATAGCAGCCATATTCCATAAATTGTCACATTAAATTGGTGCATCCATAAAACAATAACCAATGAATTCGGTGTACCATTTATTAAAACCAATAAAACAGTTCAGTAATAAGTAGGGAACACACCTCGACAATAGGTTCAAATAGCAAATCTATTGATTGATGGTTTCACCACGCTCTGCTACCATTTTCGAACGCGTGAATAATAGCACACGTGGTTTAACTGATCTAGAAGAGCTGGGTCGAGTTGTCGAACGATCCGGAGAGTCTCTTGTACCTTCAAACAATAATAATCTATCAGTCTCAAATCCTATTTAATTGTTCAAAACTAGACTTCTTAAGTATATAAGCATTTTTCGGGTTTGACTATCAATTTGGGGTATTTCGAGTCTGAATTTGGCCAAACGAATTGCGGAATCGGAATCAGGACGTCGAAAAACATAAAGTATGACTTTTCGAAAATTCAGATTCTTGGTCAAAGTCAAAGTCAATTACTTTGACCATCGATTTGGAGTCCTTCGGGTTTGAATTTGACGAAACGGACAGCGGAAACGGATTTGGCACGTCGAAAACTATCAGGATAGGTATACTCGGAAAAGATTAACGGTCGTTTAATGCTCGGTCAAAGCCATTTTAAGTTTTGGTCAAAGAAAGTCAACGGTCAACGGTCCGGTCGGGTCGGGTCAGACCGGTCAAACCGGTTTGAACCAGTTGAAATCGGTTAAATCGGTCAGAACCGGTTGAAAACCGGTTAAACCGGTTTCCAGCAGCCACTCACCCTGCGGCGGCGTGTGTGGCGCGTGAGGCGTCCTCCAGGGCCCTAAAAATCCCGGAAAAATTTCTAAAAATTATTTTGAGCGATTTCGAGATACTTACAACGATCGGTTCAAATTTTTGAACGGCGGAGAGCTCGATTTCAAATTGGCCGAATCTTTGACTGCACCACCTCCTCACGCGCCGCCGTCTACGGCGGACAAGGTTGACACCGGTGAACTCGGAACGGTACAAGGAACACGATGGTGCGGGAGGTGTCGTAAACGGAGCAACGATCAGCGGTGAATTTAAGATTTTCTCAGCAATAGAGCTAACAAAACCGTCGCTACTTTGACTGGAAATTCCCGACGTTTGGCCACGTTTCGCTTTAATTAATTTGAAGGGTTTGTTCCTCGCTCGATGATGAACACAACGGTGGTTTCAAAACAACGATCGGAATTCGGACGGCGTTTAGATCGGACTTGAAAGTGGAGGTGTGAGAGGAAGAAAATTGAAGGAATAGCATTTGTGATTTCTGATTGTAAATCAGAAATCACGCTTAAATCATCAAGCCTACCGACAGTTTTAGGGGAAATTCAGGGCTTAGTCCCTGAATTTCCTTTACTTCAAAAATGGCATACAAGTTTCCATAAATTTTAATTTAGTCACTTAATTTCACCCATTTTCACAATTTACCTCCAATTTCAATTAATATTATTTTGTAAATATTCGGGTTGTTACAATTCTCCCCCTCTACAAGAAATTTCGTCCTCGAAATTTACCTTATGAGAATAGTTGAGGAAACTGAGCCTCCATTGACTCCAATGTCTCCCAAGTAGCTTCTGAGGGGCCTCGATTACTCCACTGAACTTTGACCATTAGAATTCGTCTATTCCGAAGAACTCGTTCATCTCTCTCTAAGATCTGAATGGGCTCCTCTTGAAATGACAAATCAGGTCTCAGCTCTACTTCTTCAACCTGAATAATGTGACCTGGATCTGGACGGTATATCCTCAACATTGATACATGAAAGACATCATGAATACGACTTAGCTCAGAAGGCAACTCAAGCTGATATGCAACAGGTCCTACCCTCTTCAAGATACGAAATGGTCCAATAAATCTTGGACTCAATTTACCCTTACGCCCGAATCTCAATACTTTCTTCCAGGGTAAAACTTTCAAAAAGACCCGATCTCCCACTTCAAACTGTATATCCTTCCTTCTTTGATATGCATAAGATTTCTGCCTATCAAATGCCTCTTTCAGACGGTCACGGATTAATCTGACTGTGTCCTCCGTCTCTCGCACTAACTCAGGTCCCAACGTTTTCCTATCACGCAACTCAGTCCAACAGATCAGAGTGCGACATTTACGCCCATAGAGCGCTTCATAGGGTGTCATACGAATGCTGGTCTGATAACTGTTATTGTAAGCAAATTCAGCCAACGGCAAAAAGTTCTCCCAACTACCATGAAAATCGATTACGCAACCCCGCAACATATCCTCCAGAATCTGAATTACTCTCTCAGATTGACCATCAGTTTATGGATGAAAAGATATACTATAATCCAATCTTGTTCCCAAAGCCGTATGTAACGCCTTCCAAAATCTCGAAGTAAATCTCGGATCTCGATTAGAAATAATAGACAATGGAACACCATGCAATCTGACAATCTCTGAAATATACAATCTTGACAGGTTATCCAAAGTATAATTTACTCGCACAGGAATGAAGTGAGCTGACTTTGTAAGTCTGTCAACAATCACCCAAACTGGATCTTTTTTCGAAGGAGTCATAGGCAAGCCAGTAACAAAATCCATAGTAATACGCTCTCATTTCCATTCAGGAATCTTGATAGGCTGTAACAAACCTGATGGATGTTGATGTTCTGCCTTAACTTGCTGACAAGTCAAACACCTAGCCACAAAGTCAGATATGTCTTTCTTCATACCAATCCAATAATACCTCTCTCTCAAATTCCAGTACATCTTATCTCCTCCGGGGTGCATAGCATATGGACTACTATGAGCCTCAGTAAGGATAGTCTGCCTCAACTCAGCATCATCAGGCACACAATATCTACCTTTAAAGCATAAAACTTCATCCTGATCAATTGCGTAATCTGAGTTTGTCCCCTGCTCTACTTGCTCAAAGATGGAAAGCAAGGAGCTATCAAGGGGCTGCTTAGCTTTGATCTCATCAACCAAGGTCGGCTTAACTTGCAATTCTGCTAACAAAGTGCCATCGTCATATAAATTCATCTTGGCCATTAAAGACCTCAACTCCGATACCATCTTTCGACTCAAAGCATCTGCTACAATGTTAGCTTTACTAGGGTGGTAATCAATCACGCAATCATAATCCTTTAGAAGCTCTAACCAGTGACGCTGTCTCAAATTAAGTTCCTTCTGGGTCAGAAGATACTTTAAGCTCTTATGATCTGTGAAAATATAACACTTCTCTCTATAAAGATAGTGTCTCCAAATCTTCAAGGCAAAAATTACTGCTGCCAACTCTAAATCGTGAGTAGGATAGTTACTCTCATGCGGCCGCAGCTGACGGGATGCATAAGCCACCACCTTACTTTCCTGCATTAAAACACAACCAAGTCCTGAATGTGAAGCATCACTATACACTGTAAAATCCTTCCCGGACTCTGGTTGAATCAACACCGGTGCTTGAGTCAAAACCGCCTTTAATTTCTCAAAGCTCTCCTGTTGTGCCTCGCCCCAGTCAAACAACACATTCTTCCTTAACAACTTTGTCAAAGGAGAAGCAATGATCGAGAAGCCCTCAAAAAAACGTCGATAATAACCAGCCAAGCCCAAGAAACTGCGGATTTCAGATACGTTCTTAGGTCGTTTCCAATTCATAATAGCCTCTATCTTGCTGGGATCAACCTGAACACCTCGCTCAGAAATAATATGCCCCAGAAATGACACTTCTTGAAGCCAAAACTCACACTTGATTAGTTTGGCATATAGACGA